TATTTTCAAACAGGGTCTCCCTAAGTTGCTGAGGGCCTCACTAAGTTGCTGAAGATGGCTTTGAACTTGCAATCCTCCTGCCTCAGCCTCCTGAGTCACTGGGATTATAGGAATGTGCCACTGTGTCTGGTTTGACTGTATATTTAATGAGGTCATATAATGCACAAGGATTTCTTAATTATTTATCTGAGCATTTAATATTGATGTATTTGTGAATATGTTTCTCATTATTCATTATTGGATGGAAGAAAGTGTTTTCTCACTGGGAGCCTCTCAGTGTCAGGAACTGAACAGGTCTCATCCAATTCTGTGTCCCTAGTGCTAACTGCTGAACCTGGTCTAAGCTAGGCTCAAATAAACATTTGTGAGGTGAATGAACAAACATTCTATGTACATGGCATTTTCCCTGTTTCTCCTTTTGGATCATTTTATACAGATTTCTAGAAATGAGATTGTGGGTCAACTAAGATGAGTGTATTACAGCTTCTAAAATTGTACTGAGTTTTGATAGGCGAAGATTCTTTGCCAGGGAATAAACAAGCTTAGGTAAAGTGGTGGTTCTTGGAGAGTGTGGCTAGGTGATGTAGCCTACTCCCTGTGTATGATGCTGCTGGATTGCTCTCACCCTCCCCCCAACACATCTCCTACTGGGAGTGGTCCCTGAATGAGTGTGTGCTGAAATGAACTAACTTGTAATCAAATGACTTTATTGTGATATTTTTCTGAGCACCACATTGAGAGCTAGATGGGGTTGGAGGACAGGGAGATCCTTGGGTCCAAGAGAAGGGACAGGTGGCCAGGGCCTGACTCACCCAAACTTGAGCAGGCTTCTGGAGGCCTGGGGAGAAAGACTTGTGGGAACAGCTGGGGTGTCACGTGATACCCAGTCCTTGTCTGCCCTCTCCATCCCTTGGGACATGCATTCATCTGTGTAAGAGATATCTAGAAAGGCTTTCCAAGATATTTGGCTTGGTATCTTATATTGGGATTGGTGCCATATTTGAACTGGTATTTTAACATTTGCCATCATGATGGAAATCAGTATTGTTCAATAAAAAATACAATGAGAGCTGCATTACACTTTCAGATTTTCAAATTGCCACATTAACAGGAAAAATTAATGTTAATATATATTTTATTTAATTTAGTGTATCCAAAATATTTCATTAGGTGATACGTGTACAACAGGGCAATCTAGACTAAGGAGCAGGACCAGGGAGAGACTAGTTTGTGATGACACATCTAAAATCAGGACTAAGCAAGGCCAAATTGCAGTCAGTTCCTCTTTTAGAAAGATACTGAAGGGAAAACACAGAAGCTTTCTAATTTCTGTTGGTTTTGCTGTGTTTTGTTTTTTCTCATTCCTGTGTTTCTGTCTTTGGTTTCAGCTCCCTAAAGGTAGGTCCTTTGGGAGCTTCTTCCACCTCCCAAATAAGACACCCAGAGCCAGCAGTTCGCCCCTAGCAGCCTTTCACTAGCTTATTGAAGCCTGAAGTTAGGGTTCTTCTAGGGATTTCTAGTAATTTGAAAGGTCTGGTTAAAAAAACAATCTCAGTGTGGTTCTGCCCACCTCTTTGACTAGATATCTGCAGCATCATATGTCAGTGTTTTTTTTTGTTGTTTTTTTTTTTGTACGAAGGATTGAACCCAGGGACACTTAACCACCAAGCCACATCCCCAGCCCTTTTTTATATTTTATTAGGAGCAAGGGTCTCACTGAGTTGCTCTGGACCTTGCTAAGTTGTTGAGGCTGGGTTTGAACTCACAGTCTTCCTGCTTCTGCCTCCCTAGTTGCTGGGATTACAGGTGTGTGCCACCATGCCTGGCTCATATGTCAGATATTGAAGGTATGTGATCTAAAAGGGTGTGTGTGTGTGTGTGTGTGTGTGTGTGCACGCGCGCTCAGAAATCAGTGAAAGATGACTAAGAGGTTACTAATTGTTCCCAGTTAGATTTAATACTCATATTGAAAGGGGAAAAATTTTTTTTTCTTATAAAAAGCTGATTTTTCATGTTGCCTACTTGCAAGAGATAGCTAGAGAGTTGGTAAGGGATTCACCCAGTGGGTTTATGCCAAGTTTTCTGAGCAGATTGTGCGCCTGAGCACAAGTAGAAACACAGAAGCATGTGCAGGCTGGAGGAGGGGAAGTAGAGCAAGTGCCTGGTACCTCCTGGCTAGAGCAGAAGGTACACCTTGCCCTGGTCTTTTCCCCAGGACAGGCTTGGAAGAGCTGGGGCAGGGGAGCTGGTAGGATGGCCAGAGCACAGCCCCCACTTCCAAACTTATACCTGCCTCTGAGCTGAGGATTAAATTAGCAGATGGGGTGGGGGGGGTCTCAGTGCTGATTCTGTTGTTGACTTCACTGAGTGACCTGAACAAGTCACTTCCCTTCCTGGGCCTGAGGAAGGAGGGAGGAGAACTAGGGGGGCTTGGGCTCTGATTTTGGATACCATAGTGTCTCCCGGTCCCCTCCTGTGGGGATGATTGAATTCTCTTTGCCCACCCCAGGGCCACGCCCAGCCCCTGCCATATATCCTGCTACCAGTTGCTGCTCCAGGCGGCTGTTTGTGGGTCTCCCATGTGATCTTATTGCTTCTGGGTCTGAGCTAAGCTTCCTTCCCTACCCAAGCCTGTCCCCTGCCCCCACCATCTTCAGCAGTGGTGGTATTGTCTATCCTTGCCATTTCCTGTGGAGTCCCTGTGCCCTAGGAAGGCCTGCTCATCCCTGGGGTGGGTGGAGGCCTCCTGCTCTGCTCCCCACATCACTCTGTCTAGCCTTGGCCTTTGCAGATACTCTTCTCCCCTCCTGGAACTCTTCTTGTTCCGTGGTCCTTCTGCCTGCTGCCTGCTTCCTCTTTAAGAATAGGCTCCTATATTACCTCCTGACTTGTTCATTTATCCCTTTACTTATTTATTCAATAAGCAAGTATTCTACTGTGTGTCTGTCACTGGGCTAGATGTAACAGAAATGAAGACATTTTTGAGTTGATGTTTATTGGAGAAGATAGACATTAAGCTGCTACTTTGAAATTTTCGAACCTGCAGGTGCCAGGTGTCCCTCCTCAGTATTCTACAGGTAGGCCAGTCCCGCCTTACCCACTGCCCACTCCTAGCACTCAGCATACCATGGGAACGGCTGACTTGCTTGCTTTTTCTTAGGCTGAGCTCCATTCCAACTACTTGACAGGTGCTCAGTAGATACTGATTGAATGAGTGAGTGAAATGAGAGCTGGGCTGAGAGTTGGAAGAATTTTCCATACATACCCAGAGATTCTAGAGTAGATTTTTTTTTTCTGCCTTCGGCCAGGTATGCAGACTTTACTAAAAAGACCCCAGGTTTTAGCCAGTAGTGCCCAGAGGTTGTCCTGTGATTATAGACAGAAGCAGTTTGGTCCTAGATCTGTCACTTGCTATTAGTCCTGCAGAGCAGGTCTCTGCATTGCCTTGATCTAGGTACCACTACACCTGATATTTGTTCACCACTGGATGCCAGTGTTGATGAGGTCGGGCCATGCAGCCTTTCTTCTTCTTGGGGCTCCTTTGCCCGGGGCAGCTTGGAGACCTGTGACCCACACCTTCCATCTGGTTTGCTTATTTATAACTAGGTTCATCATTTTGGGTTCTTCTGTCTCTTAGTTGACTTTTTGAAAACATACTTATGTTGCAAATGAGATTCACTCTTAGTGGTCTACAGTTCTGTGGGTTTGGACCAGTGCTTGGAGTCATTTCTATACAACACTCCTGATGTGGGAGGGGTCCATCACCCTGAATTCTCTGCTGGTGCCTCATCACCACTCCCACCTCTGGAAAGCCCAGATTTGTTTCCTGTACTTGTAATTTTGCCATTTTAAGACGTCACATAGATGGAGTCGTACAGTATGTAGACTTTGGGGTTTGGCTTCTTTCACTCAGCAATGTGCATTTCATTTTTTTTTGCATGTTGTGTGTATCGGTGGTTCCCTCCTTTTTACTGCTGGGTAGTATTCTCTTATATGGATTTATCAGTCTGTTTTTCCACTGGCCAGATGAAGCACATTATAGGTTGTTTGGGATTTTTGGTGATTATGAATAAAACCTCTATAAACGTTCACATATGAGTGTTTTATGTGAATGTTTTATTCCCTCTTGGGTGTATATGTAGGAGGGGATTGCAGGTCACTTGGTAAGGGCGTGTTTAACTTTATAACAAGCTGTCAAACTGTTCACTAACGTATCTGCCCCGTTTTAGATCCCTACTAGCAGTTTTTGAAAGTTCTAGTTACTCCATGCCCTTGTTAGTGCTTGGTATTGTCAGCTTTTTAAAATATTAATCACACTGGTAGGTGTGCTATCTAGTTTTTAATTTGTAGTTTTATGTAGTTTAATTTGTAATTTACTCTTTCAGACGCTGGAAGAATTTAAATGTCATTATTTGATGTGATTTGGCAAGGATACCACCCATATCTATATAAAATTTGATTTCTTGAGATAGAATTTTTTAGGTGATTACAGTGAAAGAGAAGCAGGGTTGTTAATTCTTCCTAAAACTCTTTTTTTAAAAAATAATTTTTTAGTTGTAGATGGATACAATACCTTTATTTATTTATTTTTATGTGGCGCTGAGGATCAAACACAGTGCCTTTTATGTGCGAGGCAAACACTCTGCCACTGAGCCACAATCCCAGCCCCTTCCTAAAACTCTTTGAGGACTGTGTTATAGTGTATCATTCCCTAACATTAGAATTTTTTAAAAAAATTATTGCGTTAAAATCTTTGTTAGAACTATTTGCTTCACCAAAACAAAAGCTACCAGTCTTGTAACTGAAATGTCTTTGCTCTCTTCTTACCTCATTCTTTCATATGGCAAGGTGCACAGTCTGTACTCAAGAGACAGACTTTTTTATTTTAATTTATTTATTTATGCATTACAATTCTTAATACACCTTTAAGAGACAGACTTTTTTAAAACTCTTCATCTTATTGGTAGCTGTAACACATTATCTCCCTTTCCTCTTTCTAGGCTCCTAATCGTCAACTCATGACTTACTGGTTACAGGAGCTTCAGCAGAAAAGATGGGAATATTGCAACAGCCTTGACATGGTGAAATGGGACAGCAGCACTTCTCCAGTTCCTGGAGATTTCCCCAAGGGTCTTGTAGCCAGAGATAACACAGGTAAGGCATAAACGGACGGACTTGTCAATTCTTTGGGTATAGCTGTTTGTACAATAAGTCACGTTAGCAAAGAATACAGAGGAATACAAGTTAGCAAGATGAATACAGAGTGAAAATCACAATTCTGATCCCTTTGAATGGGCAGCATGTCATAGTTACTGAGTGCTTCCAGGTATGGAGTCAAATTCAAGGTAATGATAACTTGGAGCCAGGCAAGGCCAATGCCAAGCATGTTGCCCATGATGGGGCAGAGGCCAACATGTGCATAGCTGAAGTTGCAGATGCCATAGAGTAAACCCTCAGTTCTGACATCAGGGCCAGCCTGTTCCCTACTGTATATGAAATGAAGTACTCAGGCCCACATGTTCATACATGGGTAGATTCACTAGTGTTCACAGTTTGTATATACTGGGAAGGTATTCTCAGAGCATTCCATTTGCAGTTTTCTAGTATTTCTTAAGAAGAATTTAACTCTCAGACATTGATTTTATTTTATATTGAATTTATACTTTTTTTGTACACCTGGCAGATTCATAGCATTTTTATAACTCAAAATAATTCCTGACCATTTGTAATGTAGAGGTAATATACTTTTATATTTGAATATCATAAATTAAAAACCCCATGGTCTTCTCACGTCTTTAGGCTGTATTGAGCCCTTTAGAGAGAATGGGACAGTTGTTTGCTGACCATCTCATCTTCCTACCTTCCCTGCTCCCAACAAAAACTGTACCAATGGGACTGTTTCTATGGCCCCCTCTTATCTTGTAGGGAGAAGAGTAGGCCCAGAAAAAAACAGGATCCTGAACCTTCACATGAGGCCTATAAAAGCCAGGCTATCATACTAGCAGTTTTGAAGGACACAAAGGAGTGTACAGTAAAACTTAAGCCAGTCAAGCTTGGCTCTAACTTTATAAAGAAACGTGGTTCATACTTCATAAATCCAGAGATCCTTCTGAGTTGCAGAACATAGGTCTACATTCAAGTTCCCTGTGGTGTTAGTTCATGTGCAACTATTTGTTCCAGAAACAAATGCCTTCTCAGACTTTAACAGTTCTCCAAATTTGCAAGCCTTGATTTTGCTAGTCACAGTGTTTGTCAGCAGGCTAATCTTCTGGTCATTGAAAAGTTACTACACTGTGTACCTGTGGATGTGTTTTCCTGAGAAACACATTGTTTTCATGCATGTCTTAGCACTCTGACTACACCAGGAAATGAAGTGATGCCTTCATGTTCAAGTTTATGCCCCTCTCTGTTTAGTTCAGGAGTCTACTCACTAAAGGTTAAGTGTTCAAAAAGCTACTGTTTTCATGGAAAGAAGCTCTATAATTCAGTTCCCAAGTGACTTGGGACACTTGGAGACCCTGTAGGGGAACTGGCAGCCCTTGTGATCATGGCTCATGCCTTTGGCACAGAAAGAACTCAATATGTCTCTGTTCCTTTACTCTGGGGACATAAAATGCTTCTCTCTAGCAAAGACTCAGAGATGTTACACTGAAAGGAGGTAGCACCTAGTCCTAGTCTCTTTATAACACCTACCCTGCCTTCTTTCAAGCCCAAATGCTGAGGCTAGGGAGCCAGAGAAAACCTCTGAAGCCCATCTCTGAGTTCCCTTTGTTTGTTTTGGAACTGTAGGAGTGGGAATTTAGAGTTTGTGCCATTTGATATTAGGGGCCTGGTCTCCCCTCTCCTGATGTTTCTAGTCCAGCATGGTGGTCATGTAAAGAAAAGTGAGAGATTAGTGTGGGGAAGCGGAGAGCAGGGAACCCTGGGCCCATGCATGGGTTGAACATAACTTCAGGGTAACTGGGGGCTTCTCTGAGGATGTGAAGACCAGGATTAAACCAGATAAATAGAGGAAGGGAGACATGGCAAGAGAGCTGGAACATAGGGCCTCCATGGAATCGTAGGTGAGTGTGGCTGCAGGGATCAGTGAGCCAAGCCTGGGGCACACCCAACCCCCCCCCCCCAGACCTGGGAGAGCCTTCCTTGATAGCTGTCCTTGGAATTTTGGACTTTGCCTGATAAAGTACTATAGAGTGCCTTTGAAGGTGTATGTGTAGAAATGACTGTAACTTTAGACTCCTACCAATTTTCAGATAGCTTCTAAGAACAAATAATGAAACTTTAAGCCACTGGGCCATTCTCAAGACTTTAGTTATTGAGGAAGTGAAAAAAACCAAAAGAAGGAAGTTAAGAAGAAAAGGCTGTATTTTAGCTTCTTCATCATCAGAGAGAAGAACTGGATAAGAAATAGTTTATTATGTGGCAGTGCCCTGTAATGCCCTGACACTTTGCTCGTAGTGATCTCTTCAACATAGCTTAACTATGTTAACTAGCTAGAACTTATGAATGATCTTTGTAACTCTGATTTGCATAAAAAACAATTTTCCTTCTCTTATCTCCTAGTCAGCCTGTTGTTCAGGACACTTTTATTTGTAGTCTAATGGGTGTTACCAATGAGGACTCTTCTAGCACCTAAGGGGGAAGATAGGGAGAATTTGCACTTTCCATGGATAGCCAGTTGAATGTCTTGGAAGGAGATCTGATCTAGTGGAAGAAGCCCTGTGGGCCTGGCTTGAGGATGTTGTTCTGATAATAACTGGTAGCCATATTCTGAGTAAGTCACTTTCCTTCCAGTACCAGAATGCAAACCGTGCCTGGGGGATGGAGTTTGTCCATCCTTCTTCATAGTTTTTCCTTGAGGACTAACTAAGGAACCAATTACTAAGTAAAGATTTATATATATATATATATATATATATATATACACACATACATACATACATACATATACACACACACACACACTCACACACTCATGCATACATGTGGTGGTATAATTTTGAATGGATAAATGGGAAAATTGTTAAATTTCATTCAGCTGCATTAATAGGAAATTTGACTCACAAGGACTTAGAGATAGGGATTTATTTGTCACAATATGATAGACTGTCCATGGCTGGAATAGTAACTCACCAGTACCATTGAGAAGACCAGGCTATTTCTAACTCTGTGTTCTTCATCCTTAAAGTATACTAGCTCTCCTATTCAGGCTTCCTACTCCTGGTGGTGGCACCTATATCAAAAAGGATAATAGCTTTACCAGAAAACTTAAGCTTATGCCTCATTAGCTAGAACTGTGTCACATGGCTGGAAGGGAGTCTGAGGAGCCCAGTGTTTTAGTGCCTGACCACCCTTAAAATCAAGGTCTAAGTAAGAGCTGGAATGAGTATTTGATAGTGAGCTGACAATGTCACATAATGGCCTACCTTATTGGTTTTTTTAGAATTTATGTTTTCAGAGTAAGGGACTATTACCTGTGTGGTTGAATTTTCAGCTTTATGTCAATCAAGTATGAGAAAGTGAGATGACTTTGTAGTTGCTTCATCTTTTTTATCTTCCTTCCCTTCTGCAGCCTGACCTCTCAAAGTGTCTCATGCCTCAAACACCATTCACCATTGTCTTCCATGTTTGGATAGATAGTTTCAAACTAATCCTTTGAAAGGGAGTAATTTGCAAAGATAAAAACAGTGGTCTACCCGCTTTCATAACTGTTGAGAATGGGGTAGCCAGAATCCAAATAGCTCATTATAAAACGTGTCTAGCCGGATAGTGGCGCATGCCAGTGGCTCAAGAGGCTGAGGCAGGAGGATCACAGGTTTGAAGCCAGACTTACAGCCAGCAAGGCTGTAAGCAACTTAGTGAGACCCTGTCTCAAAACAAAAAATAAAAAGGGCTGGGGATGTGGCTCTGAGGTTAAGCGCCCTTGGGTTCAATCCCCAGTACCAAAACCAAAACAAAAAACATATGTCTATCCCATTGTGTTTACCTCATTCCCTACATGAACCAATAAACCAGCATGTTGGGGATAATAAGACCTGGTTCTTCTCACAATTTTCTGAGAGTTAGGGGCATGAAAGCAACTAAAACTGCTGTAGGCTGAATACCTGAGTACCTGTGTGAATACAGACAATATTTCTTGCACAAAATTGTGTTGTAAAGATAGTTTGAGGGTTGACCACACATTTCCTGCCCTGCAGCAGCCTCATCGTGTAGTTTAACTGTCACGTTTAGCAACTGTGTGGGAGCAGAAGAATGGTGGGGAGGAGCTGTCCCTTCACTCCTCAGCAGCTTCCGCAGTTCAGGGCCTCAGGCAGTGAGAAGGAAGCCCCTGGCTAAGTGCACAGCCAGCACTGGTGAGGCAGCAGCTATTGCATGGCATCCTTAGGTGAGCATGGAGGCTGCTGCTTTGTCATCTTGTTTGTAAAATGCCATACAATGTCATGCGATTTTTTAAAGTGTAAGTCACAGTATTCACTAGTATTGTCTCCAAGAGGTCTTTTCTCCAGGATTTAATGGAGAAAGCTCAGGGCATCTTGAGCTCTTGGCATCCCAACTGTGAAACAAAGAGCTCTCTGACCAGGTTCCTTCTGGTTTGAAGCCTCTGTGGAAGTCAGGCCATCAAAGAGTATGAGTGTGTGGGAGGAAGGCTGGAGGGAGATTTTCCCTTAACGGCCTTCTCGAGGCAGCATGGGCTGAAAAGTCCAGCTCTGTCTGGGAGGAGCACCTGGAAGCCCAGTGGAGAGGTTCTGAGAGGATACCATCCAGAACAGGCTTAGGGTTGGTCCAGTAGAGAGATCCTAAGCCTGGGTCCGGATGGGAGTTGGTACAGGTGAAGGTAGGGGTGGATTGTCTGTGGGAAGGTCTAGGGGCTGAAATGGAAGGCGGGAGAGAGGGGAGGGAAGCAGTGGAGTCACGTGCTGTCTCTGCCAACTCAGGGAGTCTGTCGAGTGGAGGTGGCCCAGAGGGAAGTCAGAAGGGACGGTGCATATAACCTGTCGAGAACTGAAGGACCTCTGCTACCTCCCTCCTAATTTCCTCAACTCGCAGGAGGCCTTTCCTGCTATACCTTGTTAGAGAGTTGAAGTTTCTAATTTGTTCATTCAACCATTTTGCTGATTTTTGTTTTGAATCTATCCTTTGAACTAGGTGCTAGGTATGCAGCTGTTGGTGGATCAGTTCAGGGCTCAGGTTTTCACTGATTTGTGTCCTTGGTGGGGCTGGGAGACAGACAGGGAACATTAACTAGACACATGGGCTGGCCTGTCCTGGGAGGTCTCAGAACCTAGGGGCTTGCTGCCTCTCTTTTTGGTGCTTGGATGCACACTACATCCTCACTTGAAGATATCTTTGCTGCTCCTGACTTCTCCTTCACAAGCTGGATTAAAAGTCACTTTGATTTAAAAAAAAAAAAAGCTTTTTCAGATTAAGTCTGTCCTGTCCTCCCCACCTGTTGAGGTGACTGAGGCAGGTGGGGATGATGGATTGCCCTTTCCCAGGGCTCTTCCTCCTTTCCTGGGTGTTGCTGCAGACCTGCGGTTCTGCTGTCTGCAGAGGCTGCTAGTAGAATGCCTGGCCTGACTGCTGCAGCAGGGTAGGAGCAGGAGGGGAGAGAGGCCTCACAGAGACAGGCCAGGTACAAACAGGAGACTGTCAGTCACAGCAGAAGCTGAGGCCTTCCTGGGTCACTGAACTTAGACACTGCACTGGAATCAGGACATAGGAGGTGTAGACACTGTAGTCTAACACACCCTTGGAGTGGTCTCTTTGGTATCTAAAAATGTTAGAACAGAGGAGGCCTAAACACTGAACACCTTCAAGCACAGACTCTCCCCACTCTGCTGCAAGACAAAGGACACATTCTTGAACACCAGTCCATCCGCTTCAGAGTCTTCCAAGGAAATGTTGCCATGACCTGGTTTGTTTTCCCTTAATGGCCTTCTCGAGGCAGTTCCCTGAATGCTAATGTTAGTACACGCATTGAGGAGAAGCCAGCAGCTCTGCTTTCAGTCAAGTGAATCTCACTTGGTCTTTAAAAAACCAAAAACTAGACAAAAATCACAATAACAGCAAAAAATGTATTAAGCTAGGAAATAGCCTATTTTTTGAGTAATGAGTTTAAGAAATCATTCTGCAGACTGTGCTTCCCTGGTCCAGTCCCTTTCTGCACCCCACCCCCCAGCCCCTGGCTTCCTCAGGAAGTTCTTCCAGGATGGGCTGAGTATTGCTGCAAGGTCTGGGGTTTTCTTGGTAATAGATGCTTTGCCACACCAGAGCATTTGACAGTCCGTGCTGCAGAGGGGTTGTGTGTCGCCTTGCTGCCAGCCCACACAGGAAGAGAGCTACACTTGGCTGGTTACAGAAATGAGTACAGTTGGTTGTGTTTATTTCCTGGTGTGGTTTAGTATTGTAATGCTCTGCCCATGTTGGGTCTGTGAAAGACCAGCCTTTGGGACTGTATTTTACCTTTCTCTGAAATGAAGGGGTAGAGCTTCCCCCGTTGCCCATGTGCCCATGATTGACATACGCATTTACAAATGGTGCGTGCCCTGTTCTAAGAGCACAATCCTTTCTCTTTGGCCTGCTGTGTTTGTTACTGTAGAGGTAGGTGATGCCTCTAGCCCTGGCTCTGGGCAGTAGTGTCCTGACAAAGTAGCTAGAGACTGGGCAGGATTAGTGGTGTCTGGACTTTTTTCCTTTTGCTTATTGGAACCTCTTTTCCAAATGAAATATTAAGGGGAACCCTAGCACATAAAAGAGTGAGGAGAGGAGCCACTGTGGTTGGAGCTGAGGGTCGGACCCCTCCTTGTTCTCTCTTAGTCTCCTGGAACCCCAAGGCTCAGAGCAATGGTCTGGTTACCAGGGATTCCATATGTTGTGTGTTGACCTGGAGTGTGATTTTTTTTTTTTTTTTTTTTTTTTGTCACCTTTTAGGTGTGATTTCTTTAGGGCAAGAGCTCTATCTCATTGATTGTTGTACCCAGTGCTCAATTAATACATGATAGTGGATTGAACTAAGATCTGCAACTCTGTGGTAGTATGTAACTTCTTGCCTCTTGACTCAAGCCCATGATTCTTATGCCCCCAATACGTCCTCTTGGCTTCTCCAGGTCAGAACTATGCCATAAGCTTTGTGTCGGCTCCCCTGGCCAGAGCAAAATCTCCATGAGATGTTCTTACTCATGTCACACCCAAGCACTTTCTCAGTGTGTTCCTGGCTCCCTGCCCATGCTGACATTAGCCAAAGTTAAGTTGGTATTCTGCCTACAAAGTGCAAACCCAATGTTCCCATTTACATTGAGCCAGTGCCCCCCAGGACTTCCTGTGCCCTGCTTTCTGGACCAGTGCTCTGTGACCCTTTTGGAGGCCTGTCCTAAATGACTCTGGTTGGATGCCAGTCTGATCAGAAACTAATCTTTTCTTGGATATTGGTGGTTAGCAGTTCCATTCTGATTTTGCTTTTGTAGGAAGAGTGATGGTTGATATTGCTAATGTGGGGATGCTTTGTTTAGACCAAATAGGTTATTGTGAAGTAATATTAAATTCTGTTACAAACATGCCCTGTTCTCAGTGAGGTTATATCATTTGGAAGAATACAAAATATTTGCAGTTGGAAATGTTTTTGGCAAAACTTTGTTTTAAAAGTAATATTTTATAATGGGAATTTTTAAATAAGAGAATAACATTATCTCCATGTTTATGATATAGTTTTAATAGTTATTATTTAATAGTTATTATTTCATGACCTTTCTTGTTTCATCAATACCCTACTCACTTAATTTTGTTATTTTAAAGCAAATAATATGTTATTTGAAGCAAATATTATTATCTAAGTAACAGAATACTGTTGTTTTGAAGTAAATTCTGGACATCTTTCACTTCATCCTTAGACATTTACAAATTATACATTTTAAAAGTATATTTTGAAACTTGGTGCTTTAGCATTAGTGCATTTGTTTGTGAATTTATTGAACTACTGTCCTGTGATGTTCAAATTTATTTTTCCAGTGTCACTATTTGCAAACATTAACAAGTATGTTAATACATGTATTCCTCCTACTTTCTTAGAGGAAAGGAAGTAGAGTATAATCGGATCTGTGCTTTGCTTTTTTTCACATAGCAGTTTATCCTGGGACTTGTTCCTTATCAGTATAGATGAGTGGACCTTGGACACAGTTTTATGCCAGAGTTACTTATCTATAAAACTGGAGGAAAATCCTAATCTTTCCTCCCTCTGGACCAACTCTGTCAATATTTGGTGACTTAGCTGGGTGTGATGGCACATGCTTGCAGCCCTAACTGCTTGAGAGAAGCTGAGGCAGGAGGATCACAAGTTCGGCAACTTAGCAAGGCCCTAAGCAATTTAGCAGGACCCTGTCTAAAAATTAAAAAATAAAATAAAAAGGACTGGCGATGATTTGAAGCATATTACAACCTTTTTTTTTTTTTTTCTTGAACATGGGTTGGCTTTGGACAAAATGGTTTCAGAACACCAAATGTATCCACAAATTATGTTCCTATATAGTATACATTAAAATATGGCATTGTACATATAGTTGAGATTTATATGTTGTATATCAAGTTAGTGTTTTGTGTAGAATGTCAGGTTTCTTTAAGTAACCGACATTTATTTGCCTTCTTTTCAGATTTAATTTACCCACACCCAAATGCTTCTGCAGAAAAAGCCAGAAATGTCCTAGCTGTGGAAACGATGCCTGGAGAGCTGGTGGGAGAACAAGCTGCAAGTCAGCCAGCCCCAGGGCATCCAAATTCCATCAATTTTTACTCTTTGAAACAGTGGGGCAATGAGCTCAAGTGAGTCCTTGGAAGTAGCGTATGAATTGAAAATGTATTATTTCTGATAATTTGTTATAGCATATGTTATATGTTTGGTTATGAAATTATAAAACCACCTTACATTGATGAAAGTTCTTTGTCTTTTTCAATGTACTTTTCCATAGGTCATTTTTTTTAACTTGTAAATAGTCTGCCTATTCTTATCTGATACTCTGCCAAACATTGTCACACTATGTTTTATTTTAATTGCTTGACTCTTTGAGGTGGGTCATATGCTTGACATTTCACAGACTCTGAAACTTGCTAAAGAAGTGTGTGTCTAAGGTCACAAGGCTCCCAGACTGCCGAGCTAGAGCTCCTTGCCCCAGGGCCTTGCCCCTTTCTCAAACACCAGGACTGCCCCAGGGCCTGTGCTCTGCATTTCTGTTCTCTCCTTGTGCATGGCGTGGGAATGGAGGTGATTTTTTTTTCAATTTGTTTGTCTTTAAAGAAAGCTTTATTGAGATATAATTTACCTACCATATAATTCACACATACAAAATATACAGTGTAGTGGTTTTTAGTGTATTTACAGAGTTGTGTGACCATTACCACATCAGTTTTAGAACATTTTCATCCATAGTCATTAGTAATCCCTTCTTATTTCTCTAGCCCCCTTCTCTTTCTCACCTTCACCCCTAGACAACCACTAATCTTTCTGTCTCTATGCGTTTGTTTATTCTGGACATTACTTTTAATTGGTGTCATATTCTTTGAGACCTTTTGTGTCTGGCTTTTTTCATTTGATATAATGTTTTCAAGGTTTGTCCATGTTGTAGCTTGTATCAATACTTCATTTTCTTTTATGGCCAAATTATATTCCCTTCTTTGGTTATACCATATTTTGTTTATCTGTTCATCAATTGGTCATTTGAGTTGTTTCCACTTGAACCCAGGGGCCTTCTACCACTGAGCTATATCTTCAGCTCTAGGCAACGTCTACTCAGATCCTTGGCCTATTTTAGGGGGTAGGTGGTACAAGGGATTGAATTCAGGGGCTCTAGACTACTGAGCCACATTCCCAGCCCTATTTTGAATTTTATTTAGAGACAGGGTTTCACTGAGTTGCTTAGCACCTCGCTTTTGCTGAGGCTGGCTTTGAACTCAATCCTCCTGCCTCAGCCTCTTTTCCTGAGGCTGGCTTTAAACTCTCAATCCTCCTACCTCAGCCTCTCAAGTGGCTAGGATTGCGCCCAGCTTGGCCTATTTTTAATTGCCTCATTTTTTTTATTTTGAATTATGGGTGTTCTTTGAAGGGAGTTATATTTACTGCTTTTTTGAATAATCCATTCAGTAGCCACAGAACCTTAGGATCCTGGTTTAGGTTATAAAATGAGGATTAATAGAAAGTTGTAGTGGCGATGTTTTGTGGGAGACCTGGAAACTTCTAGTTCTGCTGCAGGGCCCAAGGCAGTGGTCAGTATAAAGTTGGCTAGCTGCACTCCAGAGCCCCGGCTGGGTGTTCAGCATGGTGGTAGGGCAGCCTTGGAAGCTAACATCCAAGGGTACACTGCTTCAGAAAGTGGCTTCTTTTCTCTTAATTACTTTCTTTTGTATCTTTGTGGTTGAATTCAGTATGAAAAAGAAGTTAATATTCTGTGTGATTTTAGTTCTTCAGAGAGGTTTGTATTAGAACTGAGTAGAAAGTGGCAGGGGTCCCCAGACCTCAGAAGACCGGCATTTGAAAGGGAGACCTCTGCAGTGGCCTTGATTTCTCCTACCTGCTTGGGTAACAGTCCTGCCTTTCTGTTCCTACTCTGTGGCCTTCCATACACATTCTGCCATTCTATCCTCCTTGGACCAGCTCTGATCTCATGTCACCCTGCTTCAGAAGAGTCACTGGTAGCTTTAAACCTGCAGGGTGAGCCCCAAGGCTCCTTAGTCTTAACACTTGAGGTTCTCAACAGGATAACAGTGGTCTGTTCCATAGGCAGCTATGTCTCCAAATTCTTATTCCCTGAGAATTTGTGCTGCCTTCCTCTTCACCCCTGAACTTGGCTTCCCATATGCCCATCTGCCTGGTGTGTATTTCTCATCTTGATGGAGTCCCACTTGTCTCCATATACCCAGGGGAAGTGGGGAGAGGTGAGGTGGGGCTTTTTCTCCAGGGCACCTGCACTAAAGCAGTACTGTCTTCCTGTTTCATGCTTCTGGTAAAGAAGGGATTCTATGCTTCAAAAAATGTTAGAAAACCATGAAAAGCCCCTCCCTTCATTTTTCTGGTTGAAAAGCAGAGTTTTAGAGAGTTAAAATGACTTGTTCAAGGTCACACTATAAGTGTGTGGTAGAATTAAAAAGCATAACCAGATCCCTTCATTGGGGACCCAGTGCTCCTTTCACCTTTCACTGTAAGATTGCATTTAGAGATCTGCTGCTTTGCCAGCTTGTCATGCCTGAGCAGCCTTGTCTGACCTCAGAGTTAGGTAGTGGAATGAGATGGAGACAGACCTGCAATACTGTGTGCTTTCTGTATCCTCAGCTGACAGTTGTTATTGAATGACTCTACCTAGGAAAAGACACACCTGTCACTTTCACAGGGAACAATTGACAAAGCATCTTCAGAATTAAACATCACTCATATTATCATCTGTCCAGATGAGCCAGACACCTTGAGTTTAGTTCCCAGCTGGGCCACCTAGGAGCTGGATGTCTTGGCAAGTTACTTAACATTCTGTGCCTCCATTTCTCATTTGTGAGATGAGAATAACAGTCATGTACTTTATGAGATAGATTTGATGATACTGAGTTAGCACATGTAAACTGCTTAAAACAATGCCTAGCATGTAGTGGGTGATCAATAGAGTGGCTGCTGGGGAGACCCAGCTCATAGAGCTTTGTGGGACCTCTGTATGTATAAGTGATGCTCATCAATTGCCATAGAGATCTTAGGTGTTTATGGGTAATTTCCCCCCCTTTTGTCTTTTTACTTGTTTAAATGTTTTGGGGCTTGGGGGCATAGCTCAGTGGTAGAGCACTTGCCTAGCATTTACAAGGCCCCAGATTCATAGCACCACAAAAAAATTTTTTTAAATAATAATGTGTTGCTAATTAAAATGTCTTCAGTGCATAAAGAGACTACCCCCCAACCCCCACCCCGTGGTGCTGGAGATTGAACCCAGGGCCTCATGCATGCTAGACAAGTACTCTGCCACTGAGCTAATAAAACAAATCATTTTATTATTTCTAAAGTTATTAAAGTTGTTATAATAATAAAATGATTGTATCCCTGTGTTATAAACAAATGGCTCAAAAGTTACATTTATTTTTATGGATTCATAATGGCACTATAATAGAGCTTAGTCGGGGCTTACAGGATAATTGAATGTTTGTGCTTTCAATTTGTTTGTCAGTAGAGTTGAAGCTATTATGAAACTTCCCTGATGAACCAACATTTTAAATTCCCTCTGTAGTGCCAGGGTCCACAACTGCACAAGACTAAGGCCCCTTACTGTGCTCCCCAGCTAAGCTGCAGACTAGCCCAAAGTCAACTGGATTTGTTCCTAACCAGTTAATGTCTGTTATTGTAATTATGTCATTTAATTAATTAGTAAACTCACAAAGTTTGAAAAGGAATTGTTTTGATGAAAAATAAGTTGTATGCTGGGTATGGTGGTGCATGCTTATAATCCTAGTGACTCAGGAGGCTGAGGCTAGAGAATCCCAAGTTCAAGGCCAGCCTGAGCAATTTAGCAAAACCCTTAGCAACATAGTTGATCTCCTATCTTAAAATAAAAATTAAAAAGGACTAGGGATGTAGCTTAGTGGTAGAGTACCTGGGTTCAAGCCCCACTAGTAAAAAAAAAAAAAAAAAGTCATATGCTTAGGGAAAATTTGATAAAGATGAGTCATTAAAAAAATTGCTGTTGGGCTGGGGTTGTGGTTCATTGATAGAGCGCTCACCTAGCATGTGCAAGGCCCTGAGTTCAATCCTCAGCATCACATAAAAATAAATAAACAAAATAAAGGTATATAAAAAAATTGCTGTGAGGATGTGAGTGACATAGTTGTGAAAAAAAAAAAACAGAAAAAAAATGTTAAAAGCCTACAAGAGTCTATGCTTAGATTGTTTTACAATCATAAGCCTTTGTTCCACTTTAAAAAAAATTTTTTTTTAGTTGTAGTTGGACACAATACCTTTATTTTAGTTATTTATTTTTATGTGGTGCTAAGGATCAAACCCAGGGCCTCACACATGCCATGTGAGAGCACTCTACCACCGAGCCACAACCCCAGCCCATATTCCACTTTTTAAAAAAACATAAAACAGGAGCCTGATGCAGTGGTGCACACCTGTAAATCCCAGCTTGTTAGGAGGCAGGAGGAGCTTAAGTATGAGGCCAGCCTGGGCAACTTAGCAAGACTCTATCTCTAAAAAATAAAAAAGGGCTGGGAATGTGGCCCATTGGTTAAGTGCCCCTGGGTTCAATTCCTGGTACCAAAATAAAATAAAATAAAAAATGGAAAGGGCTGGGGATGTAGCTCCGTGGTAGAGTAACCCTGGATTCAGTCTTGAGTACTACTAAATAAATAGGTAGGTAGATAGGTCCGTCATTGGTCAGTCAGTCATTTGGTTGATCGGTCATTCAAAGCAAAGGGAAACAGAATTGGAAAGGTCAGGCAGTGTTTCATGGTGTGATTTATACAAACAAGGTAAAGGGGACTGCTGTCAGTAGTTCCAGACTCAACGGAGAGTCCCAGCTAGACCACAACAGTATACTGGTAGATGAGTATGTGTTTACATGGTCCTTTAGGTACATGTATTTTTTTGATACATTTACTTTATTTCCTTTAATAACCTTTTCATTTGACCTACTAACTGTCCAGATCATATCAGATAAAAGAACTAGACCTCTTGTGGAATTCTGGTTGGTGCATGTTCTGAGTGTACATTCTCAGGGGTGGAGCATATGAGCAGGAGTGAGAAAGTGTGCTGGGAGTCCTGTGGCAGTTGAGCGTGTTGGGGGTGTGTAGGAGGTGTG